TTCCTTAGTCAAGTAACCTGTCTAACCATTCGACTGAAGATGTGGTAAAAGTATCTTTCGGGGAGAATTAGATTAGACTGGATTTTTTAGATTATGACAAAGCCTGCTAGGACTATCTACATAGGAACGGAAAGCCTTTGTGAAATATTTTTTAAGGGAATTCGGCTGATATTTTCGTTACAGCTGCAGTCAATCCATTCGCCGCCTTTTGTGGAGGACTTCATAAACAAACAGGATTCGTATTCTCATTACGCATAAGATAATCCAATGCTTTAAATAAAGCATAAAATATTGCATATTTAAAGACGAAATTACGAACAAAACATATTTTTCATTAATCAAAAGTCAATGATAAATATTTTTTGCAATTTTATTTTGAATACATATACATCATATGTATATGTATTATTTTTAGCTCAAAGAGGCAATTATCCTTTTTCAAACTGCTCAATTGATCACGCGTTGGGATGTTTTTATGTACGAACAGCATAAAATTATTCGTGTCAGTTGGCAGAAAATTTAGAGGGTTAGGCCTTTTTTCATATCCAACGAGTTGAACTTCTGTTGGGGTAGCTCATGCGTCACATTTCCACATGCCTTGAAACTGTGATCATTTCAGTCTTCGATATTCGCCTTGCAAATTTCTAACCAACAGCATCTTTCATAATATTGAAATTTCATTGAACAAGAGTATAACAAGTAGCTGATGCAAGTTTTTTTTTTTTTAATACTTTTGTAAACGTTCGACATTACAATTTTTTTCCAATTAATCATCTCAGATTATGACTTCTTGTTTAAGTAATTCATAAAAAATATCCTGCTTCAAAATATCCAGAAGAATAATCTTAATTATACAAATAACGCTGAACAAAAACTAGGCGTTTCTTTCAACACTTTGCATATCTTTATAACAAAGAGAAAGGGAAGGCAATTAGAAAAATTTTAAGGAGCAGAAAAATAAACGGTTTAATGATTATTTACTGAAGGAAACTACCGTAATAAAAATGGAAAGCGCTAGCTTAAGCAAAAAATTAAACCAGAAATGGAGGAGGAAGTAGTGTCCACAATCAGGCTGAAAATGCAAACTTTAAAAAATTTGCCTACTTGTGATCAGAACCTTAGGGAAGGGGAAGTCACTACTTTTCTGAAATTTCAAAATTATAATTTTTCTTCAAAATAAAACTGCAAAAAATATTTATCATTGACTTTTGATTAATGAAAAATATGTTTTGTTCGTAATTTCGTCTTTAAATATGCAATATTTTATGCTTTATTTAAAGCATTGGATTATCTTATGCGTAATGAGAATACGAATCCTGTTTGTTTATGAAGTCCTCCACAAAAGGCGGCGAATGGATTGACTGCAGCTGTAACGAAAATATCAGCCGAATTCCCTTAAAAAATATTTCACAAAGGCTTTCCGTTCCTATGTAGATAGTCCTAGCAGGCTTTGTCATAATCTAAAAAATCCAGTCTAATCTAATTCTCCCCGAAAGATACTTTTACCACATCTTCAGTCGAATGGTTAGACAGGTTACTTGACTAAGGAAAAGCTCATGAGGATTATCTGCCTAAGGGAAAGAATGCCTTCGGGGAGCATTTTCTAAGGTAAACCAGCTTCTATTTGCTTTACACATGAGGAAAATTATGAAAGCTTACTATGCAGCCAGCCCGTTCTGGGTTCAAGCCCAGGCTCCGGAAACCTGGGTTTATTCAGTATTCAGTGGTTTTAACCACTCGACTGTTGATGAGGCCGTTCGATCGGATGAGGCTTGCCATATTTTGGCTAGCCTGTTAATCAAACCGCCATTGTGCTTTACCGCTTTCAGTTTTAGGCACTTGTATTAACTTTTCTCCAAACATGGCACCAGCATGTTCTCATCTTTATTGCGTAATAATTTGTTCTCTGTAGTAATGTATTTTTGTCCCTTTGTATGATCATTTATGATTATTTTGTCAGGAGCACATGGATTTATTAATAATTACGTCAACATCGATTTTTACTGGCATTTTTCTCCTGTTATGATTGATGACAATATGTTTATTTTTAAAAACATTTCACTTTCAATGCAAACTTTCATTTAAGCAAAAGAGCTCTGCTTGATATTTTACTTCATTATATCTATATCGATGTATACAGAGATATATGTACAAAAAGATGGGATATTCAGTATACAGTGGAGGCCAAAATTGTGGACACTTTTGGAAATTTTTATGTTTTGGAACTTTGTATGCTTATAGAAACGTTACGTTTCACAAAATGCAAACTTGTATTTATCATTTTAAAGAGAATTTATTACTGAATTCAATACAAAATACAAAATTCAATTATTTGCAATACAAAAAAATTAAACGATAATAGTTATCGATATACATTAGATAGTGATGATTGCAGTGAGTTATCAGTACTTAGTAGGGTACCCTTTATTTTTGATTACAGCTTCACATCGACGTTTCACTGACAAGAGTTTTAAGCTCTTCTTTCGTTATTACGTGATGCCAGGAAACAATTATAGCCTCAATTATTATAGCCTTTTATTTGAGGAGCGCCTCATTCAGGCAAGAGTTTTCAAACGGCGCCACAAATTTTCGATAGGATTGAAGTCAGGACTGTTTAATGGCCATGACAACAATTTAATGCTCTTTGTACGAAACCACTCTTTCGATATTTTGGTCGTGTGGGAAGGAGCAGAATCCAGGTGAAAAATAAACGAAGCATTGTTGTGAAAGAGATCTCTGATGGAAGGTAGAAGTTTTGGTTCTAGAATAGTGTTCATGTATTTTCTGGCATTCAGTGTCCCATCGATGACATGAAGGCGACCAGTACCATCTGCTGACATGCATGACCAAATCATAACACTAGCTGGGTTCTTCACAGTTGCTTGAATGCAGTCAGGATGTAGCTCTTCTCCTATTCTACGTCTTACATATTTTCGCCCATCACTACAGAATAACGATATCTTAGTTTCATCACTCCATATAACTTGTGACCACTGTGATCTGTCCAATTAATTTGTTTCTTTGCCCGCTGTAGTCTTTTTTTTTACGTTGCTGAAAATTAAGATAAGGTTTTTTTCGTGGAATTCTACCTCTCAGTCCAACATCTGTTAATCTTCTCTTGATTGTTCTTGAACTGACAGAAACACCAGCATCATTCAGATCATTTCTGATGGCCGCTGATGACATTTTTCTATCTTGGAGACATAGTCTTTTTATTCTTCTGTCATCAATAGATGTGCACCTTTTTCGGCCTTTTCCTTCTTTGTTTTTTATTGAATTTGTCTCCTGATATCGCCTCTATGATATCCATGAAATTGCCTCATTTATACTATTATACTTTATTGCGAAAATATGTAAGACTATATGCGCCAATCGAATGAAATACTATGCAGTTTTCCATTTTCCATCTGCATCTCCCGATATTCAGTATATGTACACATAAATAAATTACTGTATAAATGAATGACTAGTAGAGAATAAAAATTCAATATATACTAAATTCTCTTTCAAAACTGGGAAAGAGCTTTACTTTTCTAGTGGATGTAATTCGGTCCTTTTTTGTGGTGCAACCTGAGCAAAATTCTCCGCGATGAGACGGCTAAATGACGCATGGGTTTGACCATCCCTACGGATACTTACCTAACAGTGTCCTGCTGTCGGAAGTGTGTATGTGGTGATGGGAGAGAAAGAATGAGAGGATCAACGTACAGAGACTATGATTAGCCTTAAGTCATTTATATAATTTATAAAATTGAGTTGAATTAAGACATATATTTTTGCATTTTCCCCCAAAACACAAGTTATTATTATTCCCAGTGTCTTTCAATATCTGAGGTACATCTTTGACACAACATATTGCCGATGTATTTATCTTTTCTGCTGTCTCAGTAATCACTCCCTGTTCCACAAATTTCATTGCCATCACAGTTCAGTTCAATTGACGATAAATATAGAAACATGGTGAGTTACTAGTGGTCAATAAATAAATCAAAGAAACAGAATCTTTTGCTTTTCTTTATTTATTTTTTAGACTGCGAACTCATCTTGCAATTATTTGGTAATTAATATAGTCATGATATCATTTAGAAAGTATTCAAATTTTAATTGTATTTTAAAAATAAATTTGTTGTTTGTTAACATACGAATTTTATTTAATGAGTAAAAGAGCTACACTTGGTCCGGGATTTGAATCCCTGCGAATGGGCTGGCTGCATGAGTGACCTCAAATTCATTGCTTATTAATTATACCAACAGTATTTATAAATATTTATTGATTATTTATATTATAAATTACACAAATTAGATAAATTATAAAAAATAAAACGAGACTAAACGTTTAATTAAACTAAACGACTAAACGTTTAAGAATTAAGCAAATCACTTTTAAATTGCTTAATTTATTACACTGATGTGCAATATACTTTTAATTTGAAAAGAGGATTGAAAAATCATCAGTTCTAGAAAATTTTTGATTGAACCTCATTTTTGATTGCCTTAGAGATTGACTTTCCTTTTTAAATTCAATATTTTTCACAAGACACTTCTATCTTAAAAAAAAAAAAAAAAAAAAAAAAAAAATGTAGTCCTTTCGAGCATTTAGCAAGAAATGAAAATTCGTCGGCTTTTAAAATTATTGATGCTTTCTGAAATAATTATCCAAACCTATTTGTAATTTAAATTTAATGCCATTTTTTTGTTGTAAACAGAAAAATAGGTTACAGGAGGTGAGTTCAAAAGCTTTTCCTGCGGTATATTTTATCGAAAACACATAGAAATGGCCAACTGCAAAAAGGCCACGCGTGGCCGCATCCGAAATTCGGGATCCTACCGGGCGAGCTCGACGGACCGCGTAATCCGCCGAACATCCAGATTGGTTTCCGTGGAAACGGGTGAAGGCAGCGGCGTCGAATGGCGAGAGCTGTTCGAAGTGACGTCAGAGGCGCGGTAACACGCGCTGGCCGTGGGCCTCTGACAGCCCGCAGAGGGGCAGGCGCCGTCATCACAATCGGCACATCCGATTTTCTTTTTCCACTGGCCGTTTTATTGACCTCTCCAACTCGGAAATGTCGCCTCTTGTTCTATAATTGAATTTCGAAAGGGAAGATCTATCCTTCAAAAACAAACGTGGAGTTCCTTTTCATTGTGGTAGACAAGTAGCTATTTCTGAAACATCGCTTTTTCTTCGAGTTTTCGCCTAATGTTGTAAACTATCATTACTGAGATAATTCCTCAAATATGTGACAGAATACTTCCGAATGAATCTCAAATCATGAAACTAATGCAAGAAAAATCTCTTTTTTTTTTTTTTTTTTTTTTAACGAACAGCATTTTGATTACTCAGGTCTTCAATCTCAGTCTATCATTTCAAGGAATTTCGTGTAAAAAAGATTAACAGTTATTTTCCCCTTTTCAGTCAACTGAGATTACTTGAAGATATATCATGAATGAACTAATTTATACCATAGCAAGGAATTTAACGAGAAGAAAAATTTATCCTTAATTAAAGCATCGAACTTGTTGTTTCACGTATTCCTTACCGGCAATCTTGGCAACTTAAAGCAACAGCTTTGACATCTTCAAGCAACAACTTCAGTCAACAACTTTTACACATTTTTAATGCCCGAAGATTTAGACAGCATAAATATACATAACAGCTACTTCAAAGATAATTTGAGCTTCTCATTAGCTAGTTAAGGTTACCTTATTTAGTAACTGATGTATTTGAAAGTACTATTCCGCTGAAGTTACTGATGATGAAAAGATGTTGATGAGTACCATGAATGATCCGAAGAATAGTTTGATTCTCCTTTCGTCAAGCTAACTTTCCATTGTGTGTCAAAGATTTATTTTTTTTGGATTCAGCAACTGTACAAGGCTCTGATCTTCTCTGTTTCCTCATTCTCATTTTCTCTAGAAAACTTTCTTTGCCCATTACAAAACTAAAACTTTAGAAGACTTGTAAAAAGACATTGCAGTTACTGAAATTTACAAATTTTAGTCGTTTTTAAAAACTTGAAAGAATTTAGAAATTTTGAAGTAAGAAGAACGAGTTTGAAGCACTTTCTGATTGTGTTGATGCCTTAATTTTTGAATGAACTATCCATGGTGATGACAGCAGGCGGCAGGCGAGGTCTTCGACCAGACCCACATCGGTCACCACCGGCGGGTGCTCTGGCTGCAGGACCACAAGACATTAAACCTTATTGTCCACCTATGTTATATCGTAAGTACAATATTTCATAACGACTTTTTTCTGCGTGAACCCATACTTTGTAAGTCGAAGTTCATTATCTAGAAATGTTTTGAAAATTCACTGAAAAATACTAAAATAATAATAGTAGTATGTCTAATAATAAGTATTCCACTTTCATTTTCTCGTAACATTAATCTGTTCTGTGCTGAAGAATTTTTTATATAATAACTAACAAAGTATACAGCTGCTGATTTATATCATTATAATTTAATACTCAACGTAGTTTTCATTACTTTTAATAATTATTATTTACTCAAAATTATGCTTTCCGTATATTTAAATATTCTACAGGAAATTTCTAATTTATTCTATAGAATAAATCTCTCAATTCGTGCTGAAAAATATTTCTTCCATTTATTAAAAATTATTTTTCACACAAATCAAACACAAGTCTCAGCATTAAACATTTTGCCTATTACAGTCGACGATCGCTGTGGCGACTCCTTATTTTTGCAACCATTCCTTAACAACAATTGTACTAAAAGTCGACATAATGTTGACTCGAATGTATTAAATTCATTTCTGTTATATCCAAGTTCAAAATAAACAAACGAGGTCTCATTATAAACGGGCATTAGCTGTATAATCTGATAACTTAGAAAAGAATCTTTGTTAAAATGAACATAAAAATTAACTTGTCTGTGTAAGGTAATTAATGATATAAGGAAAATTTTTATATCTTACGGAATGATTTACATTCTTATTTTTGCTGTTTTGAAAACAATTTTAAGAAGCAGATCTAAGCTATGGTATTTAATGATACTTAACTGACTCTTTTCCCCAAATAATCAATTAATGTAAATATCGTGTATATTTACGTAATTATCTATTCGCCTGCCTGTTAGACAGAATTTTCACGATATGATCTAACTTTCAACAGTTATGTCCCATAAAAATTGATAGTCCTGAAAAACAGTGAAAAAGTTTTTAATGCTTCTAAAAATCATGTTAAAAAAATATATATATTTCCTAAGATATCAGGTTATAATCATTATGTAATAAAATTTGTATTCACATTAGTACTAATGTTAATTCCCTTACGGTTTCATTTACTGACGGAGTCAGTTGGTTGCAGGAGTGCTTTCGCAGTTTCGCTGTATTAATATAAACCGGAGTCAGTTTCCATTGGAAAAGTTTATCATAGTTTAAAAATGAATTTCTAATTTGTCAAGGAATAGGCTTTCACTTAATATTTACAACAAAACCCGAAATCAAGGCTTAATTCTTTCATTACAAAGAAAATAAATATCCATTCCGTAGTGTCATAGAATTTTTGTACATTTTTATTAGACGCATTAGAATTTTTTACGTCACAAATTACGATGAATAGAATTTGTCGGATATAAAATTCTGGCGCATCTAATAAAAACAGCTTGAGTTATTGAAAGTCATTCTAATGATATAACGAAAACATGCCTTTAAAAGATAGAAAATACTATATATCGTCAGTGTACTCCACAATCATCGCTGCATTTGTTGCTTACATTTATCCACATTTTATGCACTATTTTACGATTTTTTGCATCATAAGGAAAAGACATATATTCTACGAGATAATTTCATAATAATTAGTCCATAGAGGTCCTAAATCGATGTCCTCAAACCTAAGGGCGTATCAAGCCCTCATATTTATGTCGATAACATTGCAAATTCGTGGTTTTGGCATAGTCCGATGATATCTTCTAAAGAAATTCATTAAATAGTGAATGAGTAAAAATGTTCAGTTCCTGTTCCATTTCAAGCGTTAATATTAGGCTTTTAAATACGATTATCATATATGAAAAAGGAGTAACGCTAAATGTAACACGTAACTCATATCATTATTACACAAGTAGAAATATATTTGTTGATTTATCAGATGGCTTAAATTCTGTGAATCTGGAGACGACCCTTAGTTTTTTTATTCAATGTCGTAAATAGGTTTTATGAGCTTTATGGTTATTTTGGGGTTACTAGTGATGAAAGAAAGATTGGATGTGAATAATTGTTTGCGCAAGGAATGACATAAAAACATTCATTCTTTCACATATATTTATTTATAAATGTTCATAATTATTTTGACTTTACTTTTCTAGCTTTTCAGTAAATTCACTAATTATATTTTACTATATTTATTATTACGTACAATTTCGTTAGCTTCCGTGAAAACTTTTTCCCCCTCATGAATAAGCATTTATGGACATTATTTTCTGCTCGGAAAGCAATACATTGAAACCACGATGAGTGAAGAAACAGCAATACTTTCTCAGCCATACTTATGGGAAAATCTGGTAAAATAGAAAACTTTTTCCCTCATGAATAAGCATTTATGGACTTATTTTCTGCTCGGAAAGCAATACTTGAAACCAGCGATGAGTGAAAAACAGCAATACTTTCTTCAGCCATACTTATGGAGAATCTGGTAAATATGAAAACTTTTTCCCCCTCATGAATAATTTATGGACATTAATTTTCTGCTCGGAAACAATACATTGAAACCAGCGATGAGTGAAGAAACAGCAATACTTTCTCAGCCATACTTATGGAGAATCTGGTAAGATATGAAACTTTTTCCCCCTCATGAATAGCATTTATGGACATATTTTGCTCGAAAAGCAATACATTGAAACCAGCGATGAGTGAAGAAACAGCAATACTTTCTCAGCCATACTTATGGAGAAATCTGGTAAAGATATGAAAACTTTTTCCCCCTCATGAATAAGCATTTATGGACATTAATTTTCTGCTCGGAAAAGCAATACATTGAAACCCGATGAGTGAAGAAACAGCAATACTTTCTCAGCCATACTTATGGAGAAATCTGGTAAAGATATGAAAACTTTTTCCCCCTCATGAATAAGCATTTATGGACATTAATTTTCTGCTCGGAAAAGCAATACATTGAAACCAGCGATGAGTGAAGAACAGCACACTTCTCAGCCATACTTATGAGAAATCTGGTAAAGATATGAAAACTTTTCCCCCTCATGAATAAGCATTTATGGACATTAATTTTCTGCTCGGAAAAGCAATACATTGAAACCAGCGTGAGTGAAGAAACGCAAAACTTTCTCAGCCATACTTATGGAGAAAATCTGGTAAAGATATGAAACTTTTTCCCCCTCATGAATAAGCATTTATGGACATTAATTTTCTGCTGAAAAGCAATACATGAACCAGCGATGAGTGAAGAAACAGCAATACTTTCTCAGCCATACTTATGGAGAAATCTGGTAAAGATATGAAAACTTTTTCCCCCTCATGAATAAGCATTTATGGACATTAATTTTCTGCTCGGAAAAGCAATACATTGAAACCAGCGATGAGTGAAGAAACAGCAATACTTTCTCAGCCATACTTATGGAGAAATCTGGTAAAGATATGAAAACTTTTTCCCCCTCATGAATAAGCATTTATGGACATTAATTTTCTGCTCGGAAAAGCAATACATTGAAACCAGCGATGAGTGAAGAAACAGCAATACTTTCTCAGCCATACTTATGGAAATCTGGTTAAAGATTGAAAACTTTTCCCCCTCATGGTAAAAGCATACATTGATGGAAGAACAAATCTGGTATGGAGAAATCTGGTATATGAAACTTTTTCCCCTCATGAATAAGCATTTATGGACATTAATTTTCTGCTCGGAAAAGCAATACATTGAAACCAGCGATGAGTGAAGAAACAGCAATACTTTCTCAGCCATACTTATGGAGAAATCTGGTAAAGATATGAAAACTTTTTCCCCCTCATGAATAAGCATTTATGGACATTAATTTTCTGCTCGGAAAAGCAATACATTGAAACCAGCGATGAGTGAAGAAACAGCAATACTTTCTCAGCCATACTTATGGAGAAATCTGGTAAAGATATGAAAACATTTGTACATTGAATTTTCGATAAATTTTATACATAATTTTCTTCTATCTATAATAAAGCTACTATAAATGAAATGAAAAAAATGCAGACAAATTTTAAAATATGCTGTAATATCATATCCTGTTCAGCGGTTTCTGAACGCTGAATTCGCAGAAAGCTGTAATTTTAATTAGGGTTCGATTGTAGAAGATCAGCTGCTTAAGCACTTTCATGGTCTTTATGCTTATGATAAAATGGTGAATAAGTTAGAAAGTGGAAAACTCTTAACGTACTAAGTTCACCTTTTCATGAAATTCATCTTAAGAAATCTCTCGTAATTCACTAAAATGACCTAAAATTTACTCTTGAAAGAGCACTTACCTTACTATCAAAAGGAATACAGTAATATAGTTTAAATAGAGTATAATAATTTTATATTAGCATTCATGATAATAAAAGGATTTTATCAGTTAAAGCAATCTTCTAAGTAATTAAAATTTATAAATAATTAATAATCAGTTCTTAGGCGAATTTAGATCCTTTTCAAAAATAACTTTTTTACAAATTAGGGATCAGTCCATTTAGCTTTAAGTTTCATACGAAGCTTTTGCAATAAGATTTTACCGCGTCATAAATCGTCAGCTTCTTCCCAAAACTACTAAATTTTTCCCTCATCTGCAAGTATCAGGCTTCAAAGATTGTTTTAACCCTTGTGATGTTGCGTGGCCCCAACTTGTCCGCAACAGTAGTAGTGACTGCTATGAAATGAAAGTTAAGCAAACTCGTAAGAAGGGTTTAATCCCTTTTTATTTCACTTTAGAACTTACAGTTGCGTTCACTTGACGCTCACAAACTACGCCGACCCGGCGGTGTAACCAAAAATAGAAAAGTACAACTAAAACTAAATAACCGGATGCAACTAACGAGTCACTATCTACGAGGCTCTATAATTGTAACTATCTTAACCGCGTTCTAAGATACACCTGAGATTCAGCAAACTTTCGATAAGAAGTTGAAAAGATTCAACTAACTGCAGAAGTAGGCACACCGGCTGAAACGCGCGGTTTCTAAAACTTCTACCAAGCAACCTTCACGCCGTGATCAAGAAGCACACCTACAACTCGTTTTCCCTT